TTATCATAACAGTTCAAGATCACAGAAAACGAATAATTGCAAAACTGAGAAATCGAGAGGAAAAACCCTGTAGAAAATGGATATTAAGGGATTGGAAACAATGAGAAGAGGGTTTTACATTCTGATGGCAATGGATTGAGTTAACAGAGATTTCGATAGTAGGAAGCAAGCTCATGAATCTTATATACCAAGTACAAATATGGAAATATGAGTGTTTTTATTATTATTATTAAGAATATGTGGTGTGAAATAGAAAATATAAAGTTGGAACCCTGGAAGAGCTGCAAATAGACGATACATTTAAAACTATTCAAAGTATAAAGAAATATAATTATTAAGCGTTATAAAAGAATAAAAAGGACCCGTTTGTCATTTGACGTCTCTCCCCTCATGGGACGAGAACTTAAAATTTCTTTTCATATGGAATTCAAGGTGATATCATCAGTAGACATAGCCGACGGACTTACAGAGCTGACGGCGTTTCATGCATAGTTAACAACCGGTGGAACATTACCGACTTAACAGTTCAATAGGAATCTCCATCTTCACTGTATGCATAGTTGGCTTCTCGACCCATCAAAGGACTAGCATCCTCTGTTCGTCGACCTCTTTGAGGGTATGCGGCTCTAGTCATTGAAGCCAATGGCTTCTGAGGAAGTCCACCGCGACCAGCGCCTGATAGACTTGAGCCACTCTGGCTACTGTTAGAATTCTTCTGTGGATGTAAGATGGAATGGCTTGGACTGGCCAAAGCCCACGACTGAAGTCGGCTATGGATCTCAGAGAAACTAGGTCTTCGGTCTGGATGTTCGTGCCAGCATTCAACCATCAAACTGTAGATGTTTGTTGGACATCCATGAGGACATTCAAGCAAATGTCTTCCGGCAATCAATTCGATAACCTAAAACAAGAAAATCATATGTTTCTCGATGAGAAAAAGTTACTTGTTGGTTGGTTGCTCCCTCATAAGGTTGTCGTCCATAGCTCCAAATCTCCCAAAGGGTAACGCCGAACGACCAGACATCCGATGCCTGGCTGAACCGACCTTGTTCTAATGCTTCTTTGGACATCCATCTGACGGGCATCCATGAGCGGTGCAACATCTGCAATAGTACTGTTTAACACAAGCCATGAAGAATATCCAATTACCTTGTAATAATCGTTGTCATAGCAAGCTCTCATCAACCCGAAATCCGCAATTTTTATGACTCGGCTATCTCCAACGAGGCAGTTTCTAGTTGCTAAATCTCGATGAACATAGTTCATTGACGAGAGATATTCCATTCCATAAGCTATTTGAGTAGCGATTCTCATGAAGTCATCGTTATCACCACTGATTCCGATCTCCTCATAGTTGGAAGGAGCTCGGAGGCGGAGGAAATCATGGAGATCTCCATGAACCATATACTCAAACACAGCAGTTAGCCGACCACCATCCATATAACAAACACCTGAATAATCACATATTGAGGGAGAAACTATCTGTTCAAGATACCTAATAAACGGATTACGTGAGGATGATCAAAAGAGGCTACAGTGCGAACTTCTTCCTCTAAGCTTGCCTTTTCGGCATTGGTGGCATCAGGTCGGCAAGTTTTGATGGCTACTTGTAGAGGCTCTCCACTAATCAGTCCTCCTGTCCAGAGACCTGTGTGAACCATTCCGAACTGTCCTTCACCGATTAGGTCACAAACTTTCAACT